TTTTTTTTTCGCATTTTCTGTTCCAAACTGCTAAGAATTGTTACATTTAGGTAGGTTGAATGCTTGACTGTACATGATAATCACTCAAAGATATATTAAATTTTGTAAATTTATTGAACAGTTTCGTAGTAATAATGACTTTTCGTACCTAACGCTCTGAAGCGCTGGAAAAACTGATATGGGGTGATTGGTATCTGATTAAAAATTCATTAACATACAAAAACATATTGATTGATTCCATTGAATTACTGATTTTTCGCAATTTCCACTCTGTGGTGTTGGAAATTGCTGAGGCAAGTTGGACGCTGATTACAAATTTAATAACTACTTCAAAACGTATCAATTGATTTCACTCATTCAGTGATTTTTCGCACTTCTTGTTCTTGCTTGAAAATGATGAACATTTGTATGGCGGTTTTGAATGACTTTTATTCAAACAATATCTACTAATTGCTGAATTATACTTTTTCTTATTCTCCGTTCTAAGCTTAAAAGATCAACATGTAAACAAGAGTACAATACTCATTTTTAAAGTGGTGATTTATAAGTTATTTCAAATTAAGAGTTTCAAAGCTGAACTATACCTCTTTCAAAAGAGAATTCAATTCAAAATTCAAGAAAATAGCTATACAAAAGCAGCCGGACGTGGCTGGGTCTGTGAAAACAGTGACTTTTAAATTTTCGTGATTGTATTGAGAGGCTATTACGCATTAATTTCTATTGAAATTGATGCAAGTAAAAATTGGGGTTAAAAGTCACGCGTAGTTGCTTAACTAATACAGGAGCCCAGCAAACTTCTTTCATTGTCCTCTGTTAGTCAATGTTCGCGACAAACACCCGACTTCGCAACACCAAAGAGAATGTTTCAAATCAGAAGTGTTAGAAAAATTTCGGAAGTCAGAGAATGGGCTTGATATAAGAGAAAGAAATTACAAGCGTCTGACAAATTTCATTTTTTTCCACATTCTCTGCATCAACAGTATGTATCAAATGTTGTTTCAGTGAAAAATAGTGGGATTTACGACAACTACAACTAACTTTCGAAAGAAACTCATTTACAACCAATCGCTAAAATTTTTGAAGCAAAGATAATGACGAGTATTGTATTGTCCATTGAACGTATTTCTATCTATAAAAAAAGAAAGACGGAAAAAAGTACCAGCGAAAATCAACGGAGGAGTTGTGATCGGAAGGTGGGTGATACTGCAATAAACTACAAACCTTTGCTTTATGCGAATGCAACGCTTTTACCAGCGGAAGAGATGCTGACTTGTCTGTTGAACCTACATCTCTATAAAAGCTTTGTTTAAAAAACTGGAACAGAACAGTAGTGCACTCAGATGTGCAATTTACAGAGACTTTTGTTGGGATTCGCGTCGCTCTACCAATACTTCGAGATCGGGAATTTGAAAATCCACCACCACTCTTGGCTCTATATCAAGCAGACGAGATGCGAGTGATGACTTCTCCCAATTCACCTGGAAGGAGGAAGCAGACCGCACAATTTAGAATACTCAAATCCCGCAAATCTAGAGTTGTGTGTATAGTTGAGATAAGCTTACCGATGCATTGAAACTGACTCTATTTCCAGCAAAATCGCTCACTAATCTCGGTGTGAAGTGCAGTAACTGGGCCGAAAGAACGGAGAAATGTGCATGAAAAGACGTTCCTCTCTCAGCCTAGTGATATTCAGATCAAAAAGTAGTGTGAGCTCAAAAGCTGGTCAACTCACAAACTCTTTTATAGTTCCTGAAGATACTGAAGCCTTCTGAAGCAGAATTAGCCCGATATTAGCAGCTGTCTTGACTTCACCAGATGCGCTATCACCAATAAGGCTGCACTCAAATAATGAAATATGCACTCGTGGCAAGTCGACAGAAACGCCTAATGCTGGTCCTGTTTCTGCTATAAATGGCAACAGGTATATAAAAAGGGAACTGAAATGGGACAAAAAAGTTACATACATGAAGTGAAAAGCGATTCAGTGAGAGGTTGGCGATGTTCTTTACTAACGCACTCCCTATAGCAGATTTGTGCAAGCATCGCTGGATGAAGTGAGGATGCGTTTCTAGAGAAATCTGCTATGAAACGATCTAGCACTTCAAACGCAAGAGGAGTGAAGAAAACCTAAATAATACATTTAATTATAACCTAAGAGCTAATGATGACTATATATAATGTCGATGATTAAAAAAAAGATAATATAGAATCACAAATACCTCCATTGCAGAAGCTACACAGCCATTTATGGATAAACTGCGATCAAATGACTTTGCGGGTAAATC